AAGGTAAAAGTTTGTTTGCCTAACTATGTTTCACAAAAATATTACATACAGAAACAAAACACTCCAACGATAAAGCAACAATCGGGTGGATTTTTCCATTGCAATTGATGCCCGATTTAATGTCTAGTTCTCCTCCCCCCAATCTTCGTTACAAGAACCATATTATGACTTTGTCAACAAATTCAAAGTACGTAAGGCTGTACTTAACACTTTGAAGTGAAAAATACTTTTATTATGAACAAAACTTGCTTTTTTTTCAAAAGTGATTTTCAAAATAGACAAACATGTCCTTACCTTGGAGTGCTGGGTGCGTGGGTGGGTTGGAGGAATTCATTCATTGCTAGATTAATATTAAAATGTAATATATAACAAACTTATTTTTCCTATTCACGATAAAGAGAATTGGCCATTCTTTTCACCACAATATATGCACAAATTTTATGATGTGACTAAGACATCATCACCATAATTAATTATATAATAACAAACAAATTTTTAGGTTTACAAAAAGAGTCACTCCTAAAATGTTGGTAAGTAACATCTACCAGATATGAAGTAAATAATAAATTTATGAGAGATTGTACTACTTGAGCGTAACTTCAACTTCCTATATAAAAGTATGAAAAAATTAGGATTTAACGCCATCTTTATTTATCGTTTTCAACTTTGGCTAATGGAGGAGGAGCAGGTTGAAATGTCATATTAAATAAAAAAAAATTATTTAGTTATTAATTAATATAAAAATGCAACAAAGAGGCTAGCTGGTATACCTAATCAAAATTAATTTAGTTGCTATATTTTTTTTTTATCGTTATTCAACGAAAACCCTATTTGTAAGGGGTTACTGTTGCTCACAAAAACAGTCAAAATATAATTAAAATAGATTTGTGTGCAATACATATACCAGATGCTTATGCACCTTTTGTGTGTGTATATACCTTATCCACCTCAATATTTTAATCATGCCAAAACTTCATTGACACTAGCTGTCCAAATTATAAATTCGTTATTTAATACTAATTATTGTACAAAAGATTAGATAATTAAGTATTTTATATAAGGGTAATTGGCACAAAACGTCCATACCTTTCAAGTTCATTGTGGAAAACGTTCCCATCTTCCATTTTTAGCATTTTTGCCCTCATTTCAACCTTTCTTTGTGCTGGACATCATTTTCACCTATTTTGAACTTAAAATGACCAAAATACCCTCCTATTTATACAAAAAAGAAAAAGAAAAAAGAATATTGCACCTATAAGCCCAAATTTTTTAAAAACTGCAAATGAGTCCAAATTTCAAAAAAAAAACTGTCACCTTCTTTCACACAACAATTTCTTATAACTTGCCCAATTCCTATAAACAAACCTGTGGAATAAATAAAATATATTTTCAGTTTTCATAAGAATGACATTAATAGCAATGGGGGGGGGGGGGGTTTCATGAGTCTAAATCCAATGGACGGGTTGCTGTGGCGTGGGCCCTAGCAGAAAGTAGAGAATTGGCAGCTTGAAGGTTTGTCCATTTTGGGGCTGATTTTAACTGCAAAATTGGATCAATTAGGGGATCAAATGATTCAATTGATTGCATACCCGGCGTTGTATGACGGTGTTGAACATTGGATGGAAAAACAGTATCGGACCCGTCAATTGATATAAGTGCGACTACCTCGTAATGTGTCGGCATTAGTCATTTTTTCACAGAAATTGCATACTTTTATTGGGGCTGTTTTTTATGATGTTGATCCATCAAAATGTTCGCCTAGATGAGGCGAGGTGAATGGTGGTGGTTGACGTCATGGGAATCGTTAGAAGTGATGGTTTCGATTGGTGTTGGGGGCAAAAACTGTAGTTGTTTTGCATCGATTTCTTGGTCAAAGTGGTGGTTTCTATTGATTGTTTGTTGGAGTGTGTTGTGGCTGTTCTACTACCAACGAAGGGGTCGAATGGTTTCACTCCTCTTTTCCCTTGTCAATCAGTCGAGTCCTTTTCAATAGAAAAGAATAGCCATACGAACCCGGTTGGCTGGTCAATCTCAGAGATCTTATCCGGTGGCATAGTCGGCGACAAGGTGGTGTTTTGGCGATTGGGAGGTGGCGGCTTCATCAGTTTTAGCCATGCAATATTTCAAAACACCAAGATTTTGACATTTTTGTGGAAGAAGGTGATAGGATTTTTTTTTTTTTTTAATTTGGACTCATTTGCAGTTTTTAAAAATTTGGGCCTATAGGAGCAATTTTCTTTTCTTTTTGTTTTGTTTTGTATAAATACGAGGGTATTTTTGTTATTTTAAGTTAAAAATAGGTGAAAAGGATATTTAGCGCAAAGAAATGTTGAAATGAGGGAAAAATGTCAAAAAATAAAAGGTGAGGACGTTTTTCACAATGAACTTGAAAGGTAGGACCGTTTTGTGTCAATTGCCCTTTTATATAAATAGAACTACAGAGAAGAATCTATTAATTTGTTCTGTTAGGGGTAGTTGTCTTTGGTCAATTGATACGAAATGTACTTATATGAGTTGAACGCGAAAATTGATTAGAAATTATTCAATGTGAGAGCTTAATTCATTAAATGAATTAATTTGTTCAAGGCCTTTTTCATTTTTCATTTTCTTTTATTTTTTGTCATTCATGGAATTTTGAAGGATGAAAGCCTTAGCCAGTGTTTGGTTCCCATTTTTTAAAACTCAATAATTCAAACTTATTTTCAATCATAAATTTCACGTGATTCATAATTTTTATGAACTTTTCAACTATATAATTTATCAATTTCTATCAAAATCTAATAAAAATTTGATTTTTAACTAAGTCAAATGGGGACTTAGGGATGGCAACGGAGCGGGGCACTCCAAGCCTGCCCCGTGCCATCTCGCCCAAACCTCAAGACGGGGCGAGGAGGGCGCTGGGCAGGGACGAGGCAACTTTTTGCCTCGTTTAATTTTTTTATTTTTATTTTTATTTTTTATATTTTCAAAATTTCGAATTATGTCATTATTAGATAATAAAATACAAATTCAAAATATATTTTTTAATAGGTGAATTGTCGAGAAATAAAATTATTTTTAATATTTTTTTTTCCCTTCGCGAGCACAGGTTCGGGAGGTGCCTCGCCCCGTCCAGCCCCGCCAACCTGTTTGGGTGGGTTTTTTGCCCTATTCGGGTTAGGTTGGGACGGGGCGGATGGGGCGGCTTTTTTGCCATCACTATGAGGACTTATCCTCTCCATTCATCTTCATTAAATGGTTATTTTACACTTTTTATTTTTAATCTTTTCGAAATGCTACTAATCTACCATCTATTAATTGTAAATCATGTGCCCATTAACAAATTGCATGAAATCAGTTGTTATAGAAACTGAGGAGGAAGAAGAAGAAATTCAGGAGTTTTGAGGAAATTGGATGGAGTTTGAGAGGAGTGTTGAAATTCTTACGTATAGACTAATTTGCCTTATTGGACCTCATCCACAAGGGGGATAAGTGAATTAACGCGTGGGGTAGTCGTAGGTGAGATAACGACAATTTTCACAAAATTTGTGAGTGGCAACGTGATTTGGAATTAATTGAAAGGTTGCAGATGTCTAGTAAAAAAATTGTCGAGGGTAAATTAATAACATTTCGAAAAAGTTGGAGACAAAATGTGATTTTTTTTTTTTTTTTTTTCCCTTCATAAAATTCTTGTCATTAACTTTCTCATGCTTAACCAAATAATAATAATAATAATAATAATAATAATAAAATTCCTCATAGTAAAATATGAAATTAAAAAAAATTAAATAAGTATGTGGACGACCTCCCTCAAGCTCACTCTATAGATGGAAGTCATCCCATCGAGGAATAGAGGTTTGAGCTTGACATCAAGTTCGTTCCTGAGGCTGTGAAGGAACGTTTCCACTGCTTCTGTTCCTGCTCATGCTCTTGAGGATCGTCCTTCTAATTTTGTCGACAATGCTCTCAATGAACCCCATGCCTCTTAGATTTTATCGACCATCTTGTATTTTTCATTCCCTACCTTGTGATTTCTATTTAATGTTTTGATTACTCGACTTTATCAAATTTTTGTTTTGATTAATCATATAATTGTTTGGCAAAATGAAAAATCATATAATTGTTTAGCTCACATGCTTTGTGAGAAATCTTCTTCGTAGGACTTCCATCTTGGAATTTCTGTTAACTGTTGTGGGGCATGCTTAGCTTGGATTTGCTTTGAGACTCATTTTTTCAAAAATTTTACCACTTGTTATAGTACAAGCAAGCTTTATTTGGATATTCTTGCTACCAAATTTTCTTTTTTGGAATTCATTTTTTGCGAATATTTGTTAAATGTTGCAGTACATGCAAGTTTAGCTCGAATATGCTTGTTAGCAGGTCTTCTCTTTTTAAATTCCTTTTCGAAATTTTTACTAAAACCTGGTTTGATTCCCATTTTATCAAAATACATTTTTCTCACAGATTCTTCAATAAATAATATTACACGCAAATTCAATATCTTTTCTTATTTTTTATCCACACTTTCTCCATTAAATCACTATTCCAAAATAGTCTTTTTTGCAAATAATAATAATAATAAAAATAAAAATAAAATAAAATAAAATAAAATAAACAAGTAGTACACTCAAGCTTAGTTCTAGTCTTCTTGATATCATATCTTCTCTTTGTTCGAATTTTTGCTTCGTGTTTTAGCACATGCAAGCCTTTTTCTAGTCTACTTGATATCAAATCTTATTCTCTAAAATTTCTTCTTGAAATATTTTGTTAAGTGTTGCAGCACCTGTAAGCTAAACTCTGTTATTCACTACAACATAATTCACTTTTTACGGCATTTATTTACGGCGTATATTTATTGTATGCCATAAAAATAGATTAATTACGGCGTACACAAAAAGTAAGCTGTAAAAAATCATTCGGTAAAATTATTTACGGCGTGCAAATGGTGCACGCTGTATTAAGCTAGCATTTACGGCGTGCAATAGATGCACGCTATGTTTGACAAAAAAATTAAACTTATATACGGCGTGCATTTGCACGCCGTCGTATATCTTTAAAAACCCAATTGAAACACGGCATTTTTCTCCCATTCGTAAGATTCTCATCCCTTCTCAAAAACCACTGCGCCTCCTGCCATTCATTTTCCTCAGCGACCTCTTCTTCCCGTGCTGCCACCAGTCCACCACAGCCACCATCATCGACTTCGCCCAGCGCCTTAGCTCTAACTCTCCGCCTTCCACCGTCGACCACGGGCGCTAGCTCTCACTCTCGCCGTTGCCTCCCAAGACCCAAATCGAAATATTTCTGTAAGGTAAGGATTCTTCAAATTAATACCCGTCCCTCTCTTTATAGGGGTCTAGTTTCTTGAAGGAATTGTATGATTTAAGCTATTGAATGAGTTAGCATGAATCGGATTAATACCTAAAATCAGATTATTATTTGGCTATTTCCTGATTCGTTATGTCATTCGACTTGATAATGAAATTAATTTTCGTATTGGCTGTGTTGTTTGATTTTTGAATGAATTAAATTTAGGTGTTTTCAGTTATATCTCATTGTTGTTTGGCATTGTGTTGATGTGTTTTCAATTCAGAGTAATTGCAACTAGGAAGAATGAAACACACGCCAGTATTGGTACCTTTCAGCCGGCACTGTGAATAAATGGCCAAGGCATGACTTCTGTTATTTGCTAGTGTTCTTGATATGGTTGAGGAGTGTGTAGATAAAATGCTGTCATTTGTTGGCGTTCTTGATATATCTAGCTTAATATCACAATTGTTTTCACTTTTGTTACTGCAAGAACCTTCCATTTCTTTGTTCAGATTGATCAACTTCGTTGGTTCCCTCTTCTTCAGTGCCATTATCTGGAACAATTGAATTTATTAATCTAATATGAAGTTTTGTGCTAATTTATGATGCTTTCAAGATTTAAGTCTAGCATCTTACATTGATGCTCTGTCATTAGTTTAGCAGTCGAAACAAGGATGGGAAGCGTCTGCATTATACTAGACGTGATGGGAACCAAGGATGTTCAAAAGATGTCTTGCATTTCACCCACACGCCTAATACTATTCAAATGGTTTAACATAGCTCTTAATAAATAGTAATTTGCTACATTAGTCATTTTTTGCTGCTTAATTCATTACTGGATGTACGACGAGCCAAAATAATTAGATATACCACTGCTCAACAAACATAAACAATAATATAAAATCCTCTTTTCTTGCATTTTCATCACACCACCCTTGATATTGCTTCAAACAACAATAAATTAAGCATTTTTCAAAAAATTTGGAGTCATCGACATAAATTCTTTTCTGCCTTTCCAGTCGATTCATTCCTAGACAGGCATACTGAAAGATCTAGAACCACTAAATCTAAAACTCCTCACAATACTAACCATAAGAGATAACTCACCCAATGGCCAAAATATATCATTAACGCAACATGAAATTGAAAATACAAAGGGGAGACGTAATACCTTATCTCAAGAAAACAATATTTCTAGAACTACCCTTCTCTAGGTGTAGTCACACTTCTTAACATTGTGTGAATAATATAACATCAATTAAGGATTCCCAATTCTGCCAGCCACGGAAACTTTTGCACTAGAGGGAACTTCAAATTAGTTGCAAGAAACAAAGGGGGTCCATATGACAAACATTGCTGGGAGAAAAAGCCAAAAAAACTCCATCATTTCCTTGTTTACCGTGCTATCCAACAGTCGAAACCAGATGCTCTGTCATTAGTTCCAATCCATTTACTCAAGGAAACGTTTCATGTTTTTTTGGATCTAATGTCACACATAGAATATGTTAGATTCTTTTACATACCTCAGCTTGAAGTTTCTGATTCTGTGCTTGAAGGGCATCATTATCTGCTTACAAAGTACTAATTGATGTTGTAGGAAAAAAGTGAAAGATTCAGAAAGATGAGAGCAGGTCAAACCTTAATGCATACAACAAGTAGAAAGGGCTTTTCTCGTTTAGAAGCTGAAATGGTAAAAATTTGTTAAATTTAAAGTTAAATTTGCTTGACAAATTATAAACGTTTACGTTATTACATATATGAAATAAGTGAAATGCAGTGTGCTGAAAGTGATGACCTAGATTCTATAACGAGAGATGATGTTTATATTCGAGGGCATACGCGAAAAAATGGTGAACTCATTAATGAATCAGCTGGGGAAACAATGGTAACAATATTGCTTTTAGTGATTTTTGGTCATTCAAAGCTTATATTTATAATTTTAGCCCATTAATTTATTTCCTCATATCAGAACAAAATAAAAGCATGTTTAGAGATGGTTACTTCTCCTAGCCAACACTCCCTTAAAAATGATGGTGTTGCTAGAGTGCTTGGTCTTGTATGTCGAGGACGGGTAAGAGGTCTTGGTTTCAGTGCGACTCCTTCAAAGTTGAGTGCTTTGGTGCACAATCATAACTTGCAAACTCAAGTCCAAGAGTTGAGAGATGAAATTAAAGAATTAAAAGCTTTGTTTCAAATGAAGAGTAAGAGTGTTGAACAAGAAGATAATATAAGTGAAAAATAGAATTATTGAACGTTATTCTAAATTACATATGATTTCTATATTCAGAATAATAAATTGTACAATTGGATATGAATTTTACAGCCTAGAGACAGAAGCTTGAATGGTTCAAATAACCTTCAAAATAGGAAATGCAAATTGTTATCTTAGTTTGGGAAAGCTGATATTGTTACAAAAGGTGAAATCGCATCAACAAATCCAAGTGATTTGGTGCATCATGTACCACTTGGTGATGAATGTTGGAGAGTTTGGGTTAATGAAGTGATTGATAATGTCAGCTTATATCGTCCTACACGTGAGCTTTTTTTTTTTGAAGATGCATTAGGAAGTATAATAGCATGGCCAATTAGGTACATTGAAGTGGATTCGCTATAATCACAATGAAGGTATGCTTAACTTCTTTTCTATTTTAATTTCACAATTCATTAGGCAAATATGTTACAATTCAAGTCCTCCTAGCATTCCTACTTCTGTGAGTCTAACATTTTTAACTGGCCATTGATGACCATTGAGTGGAACTTGTCTTTGAGGAGGAATATGTTGAAATTCCTTCAATTGCCATTGACAATGATCAGGTTTCTATCCCTGATATTGTTCAAGAAGCAACTCTGGATCAAGATAATGTCATACCTCCCTCTCAAGATCAACAAATTGTTCCAGAAGAACAAACTCTATACCTTCAAGAACCAACGCCGTTAAGAAGATCCACTAGAGAGAGGAGAAGTGCGGTTTCGAATGATTACATCGTATTTCTTCAAGAACATGAAGTTGACATTGGAATGGTGGAAGATGATCCGATCAACTTCCGTCAAGCCATGAAAAGTTCTAACTCTTAAAAGTGGCTGGATGCTATGAATGAAGAGATAAAGTCTATGAAGGACAATGACGTATGGGACCTCGTTCCATTGCCTGAAGGTACGAAACCCATTGGTTGCAAATGGATATTTAAGACCAAGAGGGATTCGAAAGGTGATGTAGAGAGGTATAAGGCTCGTCTTGTCGCAAAAGTCTTTACACAGAAAGAAGGCATCGATTATAAAGAGACTTTCTCTTCGGTTTCTTCGAAAGACTCTTTCAGGACTATAATGGCATTGGTAGCGCATTTCGATCTTGAGCTACATCAGATGGATGTTAAGACAGCGTTTCTCAATGATGACATTGATGAAACAATTTATATGGTACAACCAGAAAACTTTGTATCGGACGATGCAAAGCAAATGGTTTGTAAATTAAAGAAATCCATCTATGGATTCAAACAGGCATCTCGTCAATGGTATTACAAGTTTCATCAAGTGATCATCTCATTTGGTTTTGAGATGAATTTGGTTGATAATTGTATATACCACAAGTTCAGTGGGAGCAAATATATTTTTCTGGTTTTATATGTCGAGACATATTGCTTGCCAGCAACGTTATAGGCTTATTGCACGAAACCAAGAGATTTCTAGCAAAGAATTTTGAGATGAAAGATCTTGGTGATGCCTCTTGGATTATCATAAAAGAGCTATATCGAAAAGGTACTTAAAAGATATGGCATGCAAGATTGTAAACCATGTGACACCCCTGTGGCTAAAAGAGACAAGTTCAGCTTAAGTCAGTGCCCTAAAAATGACTTGAAAATTAAAGAAATGCAGAAGATTCCTTATTCCTCAACTATAGGGAGTCTGATGTATACTCAGGTTTGTACGCGTCCGGATATAGCGTACATCGTTGGGATGCTAGGGAGATATTTAAGTAACCCGGGAATGGATCATTGGAAAGCAGCCAAACGGGTCATGTGGTATTTACAAAGAATAAAAGACTACATGCTCACATACAGAAGATCGGATCAGTTGGAGATCATCGGTTATTCTGATTCTGATTTCATGGGATGTCAAGATAGTAGGAGATCCACTTCAAGCTATATTTACCTGCTTGCTGGAGGCGGTATTTCCTGGAAGAGTGCTAAGCAGACACTCATAGCTACTTCCACCATGGCAGCGGAGTTTATAGCGTATTATGAGGCATCAAATCATGGAATATGGCTACGTAATTTTGTCACTGGACTGCATATTGTGGACAATATAGAAAGACCACATAAGATATTTTTTGACAATAAATCAGCAGTGCTGTATTCTAATAATAACAAGAGCTCGACAAAGTCAAAACACATAGAGATCAAGTTCCTTGCTGTTAAAGAAAGAGTTCAGAGTAGACAGGTGTCAATAGAGCATATTGGGACAAACTCTATGGTTGCGGATCCGCTTACTAAGGGATTGATACCCAAAGTCTTTCATGAGCACACTGCTCATATGTGTGTAATGTCTCTTGAGGATATCTAGTTTCAGTGGGAGTTTGTATTTTTGCTTTTTTATATTGGACACATATACTGTTATTTTGGATACGGTTTAAAGTTAAAGTTATTTTCAGTTATAAAGTTATTTGGTTAATTATCTCTGAACTTGTTTAAAATGATCTCGCTAAGGTATTAAGGTGGACCAGTTGGAAATAGGCATGTTACATATCACATTACATGTAATTTCCATGCTACACATTCATGCTTGATCCATGTCATTCGGTTATATTGATATACGTGACCATTGATGGGTTTAGCTACGTAAAAGTAGCGAAAGCCGCTTTGATCCTATATTGATATGATTGATGGACGGGATTGTTTGGGGATACATTTGGTAGTAATAGCAAAATTCTGAGTACTCATAAGGTTATGTTTAATGCACAATTATAAGGTGACACATATAGCCCAATTGGGAGATTGTAAGGATTTTTTAATGGGCTTGTATGTGTGAATAATTGTGTGTTAAATTATAGGCTATCGAATTCGGTTGAGCCCAATTAAAGTGATCTGATAAAACTTCAATTTTGGGCTTTAATGTATCCAGTTAAAGTATGGGTTTACATATGTGTAGAGACCGGGCCCAAGTCCTAATTTTATGATGGGCCGAATTAGGTCAAAGGGCATCCCTATATAAATAGGTTATGGTCCCCAAATCACACGCAACGAATTATTCATTCTCTACTGCATCCCATCACAGAGAGGAAAAGGAGACTGCGTGTAAATTTGGAAGATCATACCGCGAAATTCATATTGCATTAACCATGTCTGATTCAGTTATGTTCCGCTTAAATTCTTATATTTCTTGATGATTTAACATGAAAGATCCGGTAATTGAAAGAACTAAATTATCCAACAGTTTTCTCATTTTACACAAAATTAGAGGCTGATTCATCTTCATCTTCATTTTTACATTCCGTTTTTCTGTTTTTAGTTCTAATTGCCTCGCAAAAGTGAAAATCCCATTGTCTTTGCTGAATTGTTCTGAAAAGTACGTATCCCAGGAAGATGGAGAACTAGATGTTGTTGCCATTGGAACCCGTGTAACGAGTTCTGTATTGGCTTACTCTCTAGCCAAGGTAACACGAAGAAATCTTTTTTATGCAATTTGTATAACTCGACTAATGTCTTGTTGCCATTCAAGGACGGATCCAAGATTGAATCCAAGATCTGGCTATAAAATTTCAAATCGGGCAGCTACGTGGAAAAAAAAAATTTACACATAAAAAATTGATTTTTTACCAAAAAAAATTAAAAAAACCTTTAAAAGTTGAGTATGGAGGGTGAGTCCTATATTTTGATGCATCAATCTAAATTCTTTTGGATCTTCCGTTAGATGCCACTTGTGACAGATTGTGTAATTGGGATTAATTCTTAGCAAGAGTATGGTTATTCACTTTATGAAGAAGCGAAATATGATATACTGTCCTATTTTTTGGAAGAATTCAATTCAGATGTTTACGATGGAAGCTTTCATCACCGGATTTTCATCCAGGCTACCATGCCTAGAGTTGTTGAACAGAATCCCAACATACAGAACTTACAAAACATATCTGATGTAGCTCCAAACGTAGTGAAGATTTAGAGGCCGGTGACTCCCTTGACTTTGCAGAGGAAGAGAGCTAGAATTGGCTATAAGAAGAAAAGGATTGCCAAGATCAAGTTAGAAGCTCCTCAGTACCAAAAGTTTCTTGCTTTTAGATTGATGGAACAAAGGGAGAAGAAGAAATCAAAACTATCGCAGCCTTTAACATGAATATAATACTTGTAATGTAGTATGTGAAATTGATGCTATTACATTGAATAATTTAATATGTTACATAGAAAACAAGTTTGATGTGTAATATAATATGTTGCTCTTGATTTTTAAAATAGACATTATGGTCATACTTGGTTTTAAAATACAAAATAACATGTGTAATGTAACATGTGTAGTATGTTACTTGACATGAGTACATAGTGTAATATAGTACATTACATTAAAAACAAGTTTCATATGTAATATAATATGTTCTACTTGAGTTTTAAAATATACATTATGGTCACAATTGATTTTAAAGTGAGACATAACATGGTCAAATGGATCGTGATTGCATTTCGAGGAAGGTTAGGACGGTTCGTAATATGAAAAATGTAAGGAAGGCGAACAAGGCCAATTAGAAAACCTTTGTTATGATATTGAACATCTCATTTTCACATTATTCATTTGGGACATTTTTCCAGTACATCTCATTAATACTTAATAGCTCCCATAACTGCAATGAACGTAATGATTAATGTCATGGATCTTATCAAGCACGAAGCATACACAACATATCATAATATGCATATCGTAACATGTTAATCGAGTCGAAGCAGTTTAATAAGCTGCGTCTACACTCTATCAACGTATACAACCTATAATTATACGCAATTAGTTATAAATATGTCACAACAAGTTAGAAGTTGCAAAACATACAATAGTTAAGAATACATAATATACCGATATTAATATTAGTTTGTAATTATAATATCACAAATCTAGTTGAACATATATTATAGAAAATTATTAAAATATCACAAAAATGCTTTTTGATTGTAATCGTATTTGGCACTAATTTACTGTCCAAAATTATTTGATCAAATTTCAAAATTAAGAACCTAATTTTTTGTAATATGAATATCTAAAGTAAATTTGAGGATAAAAGTGTTTTCAACCCAAAGTAAGATGCAAAAAAATAGCCAAATCTATTATCTTTGAAGTAAACGGTAGAACTTTATCATCAACAAATTTGATTCCATGTTTCTTGGCTAAAATTGTTTTAAATTAAATAGGTTTTTGAATTTTAAGAGTTGTAATTAAATGGAATTAATTTAAAAAAAGAAGAAGAAAGAATTCATAAATGGTTTGATTCGTCCAAATATAATTAAGGTACCCATTCCTTCAAGCAAGCAAATTGGTATGTCTATAGACTTACCCTTTTAGTCTTCTTTCTTTAGGCCTCAAGTCTATAACCGTAACAAAATTTTTCTTTAAAAGTGAATTTGATTGCCTAACATGGGGAATTTCAATGTTGCTTTCTTGAAATTGTTTTCCTTTCGTCACTTTATTTTAATGTCATTTTCACATATCCCTCTTAAGTTGTTTCCAAACATGTGTAAATTAAGAAAATATAGTTATTATATTTTGCATACCCAAAAGCCTAAATTATCTTAGCAAAAACGAAATCTAATGTAATTAATCAACTTCTTCTTACCCAATTTATTCATTATTTGCTCGGTAAGT